AAGTACATGACTTGTTGTTGGTTGACAGCATGTAACAAGGTGGAGGACACCGTGTTTGGAACACAGTGACCTTGTTTGAACAAAAACAAGGTTTATCTAATACCAAGTACATGACTTGTATAATCATGTCAATCAGTCAGTCACTCATGTACATGAGTGCATGATAGGCCCAGCCAGATTCTGCCGGCAATTCTTTCGGCAAAATATCAAAGAAGAGATTGGTGCGACTTCGGCGACACACAATTCCCCAAAATATCAAAGAATTGGAAAATCGGAGCAAAACACCGAGATTTGGGGTAAAATTGATGTTTGATCCTTGGATGTCCTTGCTTTCTTGCCCGTTCAGCACTATACATCACACAGGACAAGACCATTTCACTGAAGATATCACTGGGATTCCGTGACTGTGGATCACCATGAATTTTGGAAGAATCCGGACACATGTTTGTGAAAACCAGTGTTGAGAAACCGACCAGGAGATTTTTATGAAACTTTGTATGGGAAGTCGGTAAAACACCCGTTTTCTGGAGAAAAATGAAGCAGAATATTGAGTTTCTAGTGCCAGGCTCAGCAAAATATCGATGATTTTGCAGCAACATTTTGCGGCAAGATATCGAGGCGAGCGGAGCAGCCCCCCGCGCCCCCATCTGCGCACGCCCCTGGGAAGCGTGAGTTTCAGTGTCTGAAGAAAAGGGCCGCTGCTGGGATGACGACCATACCATAGCTTAGTAGTAGAGTATCGCCGGCCATAAGCGAGGGTCCCTTGTTCCAGTCCTGGTGATGGCAGGCAATTATTTTCTTCGGACTTTTCCGGTTTTCAACCCCCTCAAACTTATGAATATTTGTATGTGTCTTTATAGATTCTCGATAGGCCTAAATTGATGGCGTGTCCATTCGTATTATGGTGTAAATGTTTGTAGGCTCAGATCCTCACTCGACTTGCTCACATGGCCAGGTCTTTGACTACGTATGGTTTGGAAGCGGACAAGACTGACTATTCCAAAACATACATAGTACAACTGTGTCATATTGAGATGTGCAACACGTTTGTTTGCTTTCATTTTGCAGATGGCACATCAAGCTTATGCTCCCGGCACTGAGTTGTTTGATGACATTGTCAAGGAGTTTGGACCTGGTAAGTTGTTTAACTTGTTTCACTGTACTTGGACTTTCTGCTTCACACTGCTCCTTCTTGCAGTTGAAGCTTGCAGCCCATCAACACATCATAGCGGTCAGGCATGGAGTTAAAAACTGAATCCAGCTTTCTATAGAGATAAATAATGTCAGTACACAGGAGAAGTGATCCCCGGCGTCCACCGCAAAGAGTGCTCTAGAATGCCGGGATGTAGTGGGGCTAGTACACACAAATGAAGCGGTTGGTGTGAAGCCAACCTCTTCCTTTGTGAGATAAATACACTGTGGTGCTGTATGCACAGCCAGTATTAGAAACTATACCAAAAGCCAACACAAGGGACATTGAAGTTGGTACATCTAGTGAAAGTTTGAACGTTTTATTATTTTAAAAGGATTCCCGAAGGCATCTCGCCTGTCGAGGGGTCTCTATAATCGGAACTTCGGAAGTGTTATTGCAGATGAGAGATGAGCACAGAAGGGTAAGAGTGGAAATGCATAGGCCATAGCATAGAAAATCTATCAGATCGGTGAGTTAGAGATGCTTGGTTTAAATCTGGCTTTGGAAATTTTATTTTTCATTACCGTATCAGGTTCAGCCTCATTTTATCTGTGCGGCGCTGATGAGTCCAGAAAGGACGAAACAGTTCTGTTCGCAGATTGAGGTCGAAGTTATAAAAGAAAACCAAACCCATCACGGGGATGTGATCACCAGGGCTATGGAATAACAGTACAGTGAAATGTATATTGAACGAAATGCTTATGCAGAGCTTTCTTTAAAAAATCATGAAGGCTGCTTACCGATGTGACTTTGGGAGGGGGACAGTTCCATAGGGTACTGAATATGTGGGGAAAGAGAGAAGAAAAGCGCTGTCTGTGTATGGTTATTAACTTACTTGGGATGGCGGGCACTGTGCGTAACATAGATAATATTGAATTTTGATGAGTAGATGTTGAATTTTCATGAGCAATTGGGATAAAAATGAATGTACTTCAAGAGAAGAACAAGACACATATACTGCCTCTAGTGTTGCAAGGACTCTAGAAAACACAATTCATTGAGATTTCCTTTAGTTTCATGAATGTCAAACTCTACCTTTTTCGCCCGCAGGAAGACTCGACATACCTTTGCTTGAAGGATGTTCCTTTGTAATACGGCAGCACTGAGGTGTGTATTGCAGAATCGGTAATTGCTAGTAGTAAAGGGTGAAGCCATGCCTCTATTAGATATCAAATGTCGAGAGATTCCGATGTAATCAATGTTATATACGGATAGGATACGGATACTTTGTGGATACAGTGGCGGCAGTTTACTAATCCAATACGGAGTGGTGGGTGAGTGAGTGCGTGTGAGCGGGGATAATGATAAGGTGATTGCGATGATGTGTTACGTGGTGCTTCTGGGGAACCCATAGTTTCCTATGCAGTATATCCTTTGAGAAGCTGGCGAGCTGCGTCTTCGCTGATGGTTAAACCGTCCAGCACAATCTTACCATAGAGCAGGGAGCATTTGATGCCCTTAGCACACAGCTGTTTGTAGAGTGGTATGGCTTGCCGGCAGTCTTTCTCCTGATTTGGTGTTAGATCATGGTTGACATACACATGTGTATCATCGGGCTTGAGGCCAAGGCGAAGTTGCATGATCGTAACTCTAGTAGCAGCTCTATCCATGGACACATGGACAAGTTTCTACTTTCCAGATGGCGTTGTGCGTCCAATGTGTTTTGCTTGAAGGGTAGTTGAGCATCAATGTCAGGCATCATTAAAACAATAATTTCGGGCACATTCTCGCGTTCCTCTCCTGGATGACCAACAATCACCACGTTGTTTTGAATTTCCATCTGTACATGCTGCTCATGTACGAGTTCCCGTACCGCATGGAGATCACACAGTACGGGAGACACTGGCAGGGCCTTTTCGCGATTGCACCAGGCTGCTGCAGGGATGCAACAGTGTCATGCAGCGTACTGTTGTGCTCTCGTAGCTTACGGTTGTCCTTCTCTGGACCCTTACCCTGTCATCTAAATCTCTGAAGGCCTCCTTGATATCCTGGACTTCTACAACAATAGCGGCCATTCTGACTTCTAATATCTCGTCCATTGTCTCTCTGAACTGCCCGATCAGCTCCTCTACTGACGCAATACTGTTTACACTACATTGTAGGCATGACCTGTGGCAGACTTTCCCGATTGGTCTTTCTGCAATCTAGAGCTGGATTGGCGAAGCTTTTCCGGTGGTGTTGTGGCTTTTGACTTTTCAGTCAAACATGACAGTGAGCCAGTATACCAATTGTCCTGGTTTCTGTTCATCCTCTGCGAGAAAATCACTTGGGTCTGTAATACAGATGCAGAGTGGGTCTAGATAACAATGCGATTCCTTAGGGCCGGGTTCCACTGCGGCTCCGCTGCTCCGCAACACTTGGCTGCATGCAGCGGAGCAGCGCGGTTCCATTAACACTCGCCATTCACGGTACTGCGGTTGTGCTCCACTTTTTTTATGACGTTTTACCTGCCTACCTGTGCGAAATCAAAAAAATCCTCGTCATCTGGCCTGCGCAACGCATTAAAATTTGGATTTTAAAATTCTCGCGTACAAAACAATGCAAAATACGGGAAACAGGTCGAGCCGCAACCGCGGCTCGCAGTTTTTGATCAAGAATCGTAGGGAAAGCTCGCGGTGAGCCGCGGCCTCGCTGCTCCAGCTCGAGCCACGGTCACCATGGTAATGATGACGTTTCAAGCATGCTACTGATGTGTGTTGGGACTGTGGGCATGTATGGTTTGGTGTGCCCTACTTTGTATTGCTGACAGAGATTGTTCATGCTGATGGCTCCATCAACAGGGCTGCTCTGGGAAAGATTGTGTTTGGATGCTCAGTGAGTAATCATCTTGAGTTGCATTGGTGCGTTTATTGTATAATTTACCTGCTACAGCATAATTTTACGTTAGTGCATGGCAGGGGGGGGGGGGCTTATGGCTTGTTAGTGCCCGAGGGCTAACATGGAAGGCGCTAACAAACCATTAGGTCCGACCTGCCATGCACTACCGTATTTCTCTGAATATAAGTCACACCTTTTCACATTAAACTTCAAGGAGCAAAGAAGGAGGTGCGCCTTACAATGGAGTGTGACATCCTACTTATGTTAATATAATGAAACGATATGGCTCAAACCTAAAAGTGGGGTGCGACTGACAATCGGGGAAATCCGGTAACTATTTTAGAACGAGGTTATTCTTCCCCTTGCATAGAAGCTGACCAAGAAAGTTAATTTTCTAAGATGTCAGGATAATCTTCACCGATTCGAGTTGCAATGTAACAAACGAAACGCATGCTTCAAGAGAACAGTAGACTTGCACAGGTTCTAGAAACAAACCTGATCGACCTCTGAATTATTTGCACAAGCATTGCATAGGGACTGTATTGTGCTACATGTACAAGCAATGCAGATGAATCCAATTTAGAGAGGACGACGAGGTGGCCGAGTGGTTAAGGCGATGGACTGCTAATCCATTGGGCTCTGCCCGCGTGGGTTCGAATCCCATCTTCGTCGTATTCTTTTTTTGCAACCTTGACTACCTGGTTCCAATTTTTTCTCATTTTATCGTTGTGGTGGATGGCTGTACCATTTATAGGTATTTTACTACTCCCTGGTTTCAGGCATAGTGTGGAACATTAGCGATGAATGTCTTCTACCGTGACCACCCAGCAGCAGGACACCCATCGTAGCAAATAGAACGCATTGTTTGTATACCCTTACAATGTACATAGGGTAGTTAGTGGTTTGTGTGCAGAAAGAAATGGATCAAATGAAATGCTGCGCTCTTGTTGTGAACTGCATTCTTATTGATAGCGGATGGAGCTATTTAGGGGCTTCGAGAGCCCCTTTTCGGAACCTGTTATAAGTTCGATCTTGGGTATTAATAGCGTTCAGCCAGTAAACAAACGTAAACAAGGCAACCACCACATCTGCCCAGCTGTCAATAACAGCGGTAAAGGGAGTACGAGAGCAGTTATACAAGCTGTCAAACTTGGGGGTGGGGGGGGGGGTTGCACCATGGTTCTCTTTCACCAGTTTTCAGCTCTAGCCAGTGATAGAAGGGTCACAGTACAGTAGTGGGTGGACTGGCTTATCTGTACTGACGCCAGATCCGGGAAACCTCCATTGCCAAGTGTTTCTGCGATGTCCAGTGTTTTGGCGCCAGTTGGGCAAACGAAGCGGGCAGATGTGTCTCTCGAAGTTGCTGGGAGGAGAGGCTCCTCCATGCTGAGGATGACTCTGGAAGCAGTTTTCTGCTGGCGAGGTTTGACTTCACCGCCGTCACGATATTGCATCTTGGCTGCCCACACATGCACGCCGCATCCTGCCGGAAATAGGCTTCCATTGCAAGTTGGAGTGGAGCGTCATGCGGCATCCGGAGAACGTGACCATTCATGCCAGTAGTGAATAGCCTGTTTTGCCAAAATAATGTTTTCTCACTTCTTTTCTCACTTCATTGATTTTTTAATGTGTTGTGAAGAAACCTACAATATTTTCTCTCTCACATGCCATTACCAGCAGAATCTGCAACAGCCACGGATCTCTACTGCTGTATCATCTTTCCACAAAGCATCCCAATCCACAGGCTAATAATATGTTCTTGTCGTTCCTCTATGTCCAGGAGCGCATGAATGTCTTGAATCAACTGTGCTGGCCAGTTCTCCGCACTCAAGTCAATGACATTCTGCAGAAGTCCGCGACCAGCGCACATCGCATTGTGGTTGTGGAAGCAGCTGTCCTGATTGAAGCGGGCATGTCTTCTCTTGTGGATGAAGTATGGACAGTAATGGTGCCGCATAGTGAGGTACGATTTTGTTTCATGAATGTCAGGGTTACTTTACTCTTCCACTCAGATTGTTTGCCTCTGCAATCAGCCGAATTGAGTATAAGATTGAGGTGATATGGCGACTTGGATTGGCAGCTGTACTTACTATGCATGACCAGTGGCAGAACAGTTGTCAGAAGCGGTAACTTCACGGATTAGGTGCTTGGCTTTAGGCAAGGCCAATTCCACTGTGATGTATAGTTTCTCCAGCATGCACCAGAGCTGCTGGCAGCATTAGCAGACTATTGCCACTGTGGTGTGTTGTGTTTGTGCTGCTCTGGCTGTTCCAGGCTGTACGGCGCATCATGGAGCGCAACAATCTGCCAGAGGAAGATGCTGAGAAGCGTGTGTCATCACAGCGCAACAATGCTGAGCGCTTGGATGACGCTGATGTGATTTTCTCTCCACTCTGGGAGAAAGAAGCAACCTTCAAGAATCAGGTTCGTCTCACAGTATGCCATGTATACATCCTGTGTGTGCATGTGGCTATGTTGAGTAGGAAATGAAACAATTACAGTAAAACCTGGTGTAAGCAACCTCTGGGTTTAGCGACCACCTGCTCTCAACGACCGTTTTTCCATGCACCGACAGTTCTACACAGACACTGTGGGACCTGGTTCTAAAGACCACCTGGCTTTAATGACCGCTTTTGCTTGCACCGCGGGATGGTCACTTAAACCAAGTGTTTACTGTACATTTACAGAGAATCTCTTATCAATATGAATACGTGTACCGGTATATGGGCTCAGTCTTTGCTGGCCAGTGCTACCAGCAGCTGGGCACAGTTGGGTTGTATTTCCAGGCAGGATGGAGATGACATTTTAAACATATGTCACCTGAATCTCTAGAGAATGCTGTTCCTCTCCTATTTCCTTGTTTCTTTTTCAAACGGAGAAAAAGAAACAAATGACAGGACTGTTCTCCAGAGATTCACCGTGAAACATCTCCCCACCAAACTCCAAACCGCAGCTAAAATTACCTTCATGTACTCGTAAAAAGTTAACAAAACGGTTGCCATTTAATATGTACTAATTTTTTGGGGGAAACCTTTGCAACGGACTCTTATCACATTAAGACATGAATGAGAGAAGATATCAATTAAGTACCAAGACAAGACATGCACTAAGCATCTCAGTGAGCAGCATACCATTCATCACTATTGAAATGCATGCAGGGCCTAGGACTGACAGGAGAACGCTGTGGTGTGACAAACAACACAGCCATATTTTAATAAGGCGGCATGGAGACAAGAAACCTAATGTCGATAAAAAAAATTAAGTGAGCGCACTCGTACCACGACACCAATGGAACAATATGAAAGGATTTGAACGTTGTTTTCTTGTGATTATCATCAGAACTCGTCATCACACTAAGAGTTGGACTACAAAAGGAAAGATTTATATGGTACCATAAAGTGAACATTAAATCTAAAACTAAAACAAGAAACACTAATATTCTAAAGCTATCACTGGTAAAGGCGTGATTACATGGGGTGCAAGCACTGTGAAAGCATGTGCAGATTGGAGAAGTGCAGGTGAGAAATGTACATGTATGTGAGTGGTCTTCACCAGTGATAGCTTTAGAATATTAGTGTTTCTTGTATTAGTTTTAGATCTAATGTTCACTTTATGGTACCATAGTCTTTCCTTTTGTAGGCCAACTCTTAGTGTGATACAGTAACGATTTCTGATGATAATCACAAGAAAACGACGTTCAAATCCTTTCATATTGTTCCATTGGTGTCGTGGTATGAGTGCGCTCGCTTTTTTTTATCGACAATATTTTAATGCACAAGCATACCACGTTGCTGAAGTTTGCATGATGCTTCATGGAAGTGCTACTAGTGTTCCAGAAAGAATTTTTCTTTTCTTTTTAGTAAGTTTCGTTGGTGCCCATGTTGCACAATTGTAGCAGAGTACAGGGAGTACAAAGGCATTATAGAGCCGGATGCGGAGATCCTCCGAAACTAGCGACCTACGGATCCACAGCGTCCAGAATTTACCAAAGGCAACAGTTGCCAGTTGCTGTCGCCGTAGCATATCCTCGGCATCACCTAATAGGGACCTGAGTTTCTTGGTGGTTCGCCACTCCTCCTCGATGCGATCAGTGTGCCGTTCGATGTGCGTGTGCTCTGTTTTGGTCTCATTCACTTTCAAATCCCATTCGAGGAGCTTGTTGGATATGGTTGGAAGGAGGGTCCTCAGCCTCTCACCATCAGTAGTCACGAAATCCACATCGTCGGCGTAGGCAGCTGAGCCGTATTGAGGCCTTCCACCGAAAGCAGCTGCGGGCGCTAATCGGCATTGTGTTCCCGAATCGGATTAGGAACGAGAGGCTCTATGAGCGTACCGGCGCGGTTCCTCTCGGCATTATCATCTTGAGAGCTAGGTGGAGGCTCTTTGGGCACGTCCTCCGGCTCCCGGCTGACTCCCCACCATCACTGGCCATGGGAGCGTACTTCGCAGAGCCTCGTCCAGCGGGCTGGAGGGGACGACCAAGACACACACTACCAACGCTACTACAAGATGATGCCAAGCGGATTGGACTTTCCTTGTCAAGCAAAGTCGATCTGGAGGCGTTCCGTGCCCTTGCTGCTGACCGAAGCGGTTGGGTGGGCATCTGTGCCCGAGTGGTTTCGGCACCCTAGTTTTTGTCTTCTTTTCGCATATTTCTTCTTTTTCTGAAACTGTTATGGTCTTTTGTATCTATTCGAAGTGGCTTATGCGAACATTTTTGGCTGGTTTGCATGATTTGCATGCCCATTAATGCAGCTGCAGGCCATGCTGATGTCTACGCGAACAAGCACATAATAATAATAATAATAAGTCCACTATGCTCCCGAATAAATCCGGAAAGTGGTGGCGGGGCCCTGCTGCTCAGCCAACTTTGGTGGTCTCGGCGTCTGCACAGACAAAGTGCGCCAGGAAAAAAAGGGAAAAGACTTAAGAGAGAGGGACCATAGCATACAGACAAAAGCTCCTAGGCGAATGAGTTGGCAGTATAGCGAATTTGTGAAACTACTTCCTCCGCCCAAGCAAAATTTTCGCTTATCTTTACACTTTTTACTGATACACTCCAGGTTCTCAGAACGGCTTATAACGACTCAGAATGAGTTGAGGAGTCGTTGAACATCAAGAGAAACTCTCAAAGTCGAAAAATGTAGAAGTCATCCTTTGTCATCAGCCGACGCAGCACTTGTTGTCGGGTAGTGCTTCGCACTTTCCAGAAGCGCAAATATTTCGTATCGACACTTTTCCAAGCGCTTCACCTCCTTCATGAGTACAATCGGCCGTGTTTCCGACCAGCCGAAGCTTACGAGCTCAGCGTCGCTTTGCAGGGTCGTTCCCGTTGACATCAGGCGAATGACCTGGGTGAGTGACAACCCTGTCATCGAAGCCTTTCTTTTCCCCACTGTTTTGCCCAGTGCCGACTCTGGTTCATTTTGCAGTATGTGGGCGAGCGTCGCTGTCGCTGAGTGGCTTTCTCAGCTTCAAGCTCAGCTGCAAGCTCACGTGCATTTTTACCGTACACACATTTTGTGCCGGATGCAATCAAACACGCTGGCTTTTCGCAACATGACACCTCTGCTCTGTACTCCAGTGGTACTCTAGCAGCACCCACCTAGCTTGACAAGTGACTGACTTTGTGTGTCTTTTTTACCAGTTCACTCGCGTTCAAGGCGCTCTACTCTAGCTTCTTCTTTACTCTTTGCCGACTTCGCCGACTTGTTTGGAACTGGTACGCCTGAACCAGTAGATTTGTGTGATGGTGAAGTGCACACGATGCAAAAATTGCTGTCAGACACCTGTCATTGGGCTGAAGGAGATGCGAAAATTTTGCCTGGGCGGAGGAAGTAGGAAAATAACAAAGCGTCAGTTGCTCTGTGCCAGTCCAGACGCAGCAGGTACCTATGGCACCTTTCCTTGAAGGACTGCAGCTGTCGTGGGTGCGGTACGGTTTGCGAGACGTGTCCTGGCAGGTTGTTCCACGTTGTGATGGCACAATCGGGGAACCCATTGCGGAGGCTGCTCCGTGTGCATCCTGGGAATGTTGACTTTAGCTGGATCGGTGGTGCTGAGCGGTCTTAGTTGCCAGCCTGGTCGATGGTCTGCACGGATGGTATGGGTCGGCTGGGGCTGGTAACATGGCCTTCAGAAGACATGCAAGCTTGAAAAGAAACGACAGGGATGCAACCATTCTGCGGTGCTGTAGGCTGGGAAGCCAAACTCCCGGGCCGATGAATATCAGCGCCCTGTGCTGAATCTTGTCCAAGCGGGATGCACTGGAGCCAATACACACCAAGGAGCAGTACTCCATAAGAGGGCAGACAAAACCCCTTGTATATGTACATGGTTGTGCTACCTCTGGCGTCTACAATGGGGGCAACCTTGGTGAGCAAGTGAAGCCGCTGGGCGGCCTTAGTTGCAATGGAGAGGAGATGAGTTGAGAAGGACAGCTGGGTATCAAAGGTGACACCGAGCAGCTTATTATCCCACTCCTCCGGGATGGGAGCTCCTGCGAACATTACAGATGGCATAGCTGGGGGGGGGGGGGGTGGCTTACGGTGATCAATAGTCGTCGCCTTAGACTTGGACGGCTCAAACGTTGCTTTCCAGTCTGCACCCCACTCAGAAACGCTGTCCACGGCGGCTTGGAGCTGCACTGTGGAGTCAGCATTGCCGGATGTGGCAGACAGAGCATCCGCATAGGTGGCAAGTTTGGAGCCCGCGTCTGCACTTGGCATGCCGTGTGCATTTTGTTGTCAGTGAAAAGCAGTGGTTTCTCCCTTGATATGTCGCAGTGCTACTTTAGTATAGTAGGTAGGTCACAAACGTTTATGTTTAAAAAAAATGAAATAAGCTACCGTTATTAGGCCTAGCTACCGTGTAGGACACCGGCACTGCAGGTGACATAAATGGACATGATTGTCATAAGTTGAGGAATGGAAAAGGGAACAGTCTGAAGAAAGAATTGACTGTCACCACCAGGACTCGAACCAGGGACCTTCGCTTGAGGCCAACAATGCTCTAACCACTGATTTTTCCCTTTTATTTTGTGCACCAACAGATCAAGCCAGCGTGGGAAGAAGCCAATCGCAGGGCACTGGCTTGTGAAATGACATTGTGTGGCAAGACGCTGGATGAACTGGCGTAAGTTAACGTTTGTGTGCCACTTCTGGAAGGTGTTACTACGTTTTATGTGAGCTTTCTGGTCGTGCTGCACATGTGGAGTAGTGATGCCTATGCTCTTTTTTTTTCTTCTTTTTACGCATCATCCATCCATGTGTTGGTTGAACACTTAGTGGAAGTGCTGCTGCTACTGCTGCTGTGCATTCGTTTATTTTTGTGTTTATGTGTTTTGAATCTTAGGCTTTTCACGATTTGCGCCAAGGTGTCGAAGGACTCGTCGCCGTCTGAGCTGCAGAGCGCAGTAGAGAAGCTGCCAGCATCCGATCAAGCAGTGATCATGAGTCGCTTGCACTCACTTCATCATATCCTGCCCTACTTGCTTGTGAGTGCACCATCCAATACATGTAGTTTTCACTGTGCTCTACTACATGTACTTGTATATGAAGGTGGCAGTTGGGCTTGTCATTGTGACCTGCTATTTGGACATTACAAATGTACCCTTGTATTCCACTCAGTCATGCCTCAGTCATGCCTCAGTCATGCCTCAGTCATGCCACATGTTACGTTCTTATACACACCACACACCACATCAGCACATGTGAAAGTTCTTATACACACCACATCACCACATGTGAAAGTTCTTCTTCACTTTTCATTGTTCATGTTGAACACTGATGGCTTAATACTCCTTTGCTGTTCGTCTACTGTTATTCATTCCGTAGGATCCGTGCCTTGTGCAGGCATGCGCTGTGTCCGCGATCCACGCCAATGGCAGTTTTGCTAGCAATGGTGTGTTCACATGTTGCAAGGAGGTAAGTTGTTCGCTGATCAGCCAGTCATTACATAGTACAGTCAGACCTCGCTTATCCGCTCCTCTTTTATCCCGATCACTCGCCATCCGCAAGAAAATCTCTGGTAACCGATTTACAGCATAATTATGTTATGCATACAGTGGGTGTGTTCGATTATCCGGTTCCCTCGCCTATCCGGATATTTTTGTGGAAAACGGATGTGTGCGGTTAAGCGAGGTCTGACTGTACACCAACCACGCATCATCCACTACCTGCGTTTTACTTGTGAGTAGTTTCCGAACATTACACAATGCCATAGTGTGATTTAAAAAAGCCTCTTTTACAAGAAAAACACAATACACATGTTTGCCCTGGTGACCAACTAGAACACTGTGGCAATGTGTTAGGACAACACGTTTCCATAGCTCTCAACACACTGAAGTGCTTTTTTTTTTAAATCTTTGGTGTACCAAGCTTCATATTGGCCAGGCGTAAAACTGCAGTAGAAATTTACAAGCTTGAGTGACGAATCCATTGTATTTTGTGTACACGTGTTGATGGTATGTTGTGATTTACGTAGCTTGAGGACAATGTCAAGTCGGTGCTGTCTACGATCACTCTCAATCAGCATATGAGATCAACGGGTAGGTCTATGACTACATGACTATTGTGCAATTGTGCACACTGTACTTTCTAGCCTGGCTAGCAAGGGGACCCCTCAAGGACCCTGTGTACAGGGGATTCCCTTATCATTTGACTTGAATTGACTGTCACACCATTGGTCCAGGTTCTACTGGCCCTGCGACAGGTGGTCGCTTGAACAGAGTGGTCTCCTTGACAGGTTTTACTGTGTGTTGTATCTGCTGTACATGTGTCTGAAGTGCCAGCATACTGTCTTATCAGCAAGTGCTGCACACATGCATGTGTCTACTGTACACACATGTGTTGTGTTGATCAAGCAATTGAATTATTGGGCATATGCAGCAATGACACAGCATCAAGGGTCCTGGATTATTTCAACACCAATTCACAGAGGTAGAATGCAATGTAGCCTTTTTTGTGCTCTGTGCACTTGTGTATCAGATATTGACATTGGCTATACAAAGTGTTGCCTCTGTACATTGGTGTACTGCTGTAGATGGAGGCTTTGACTTCTGCTCCACACCCAGTGAAGACAGTGACCTATACAACTTATTGGTTGCCCTCAAGACCGCATCTCCCACATCTTCCCGGCTTTAGTTAGTTGAACCTCCTGACTAGTATTAATATGCCCTGATCTGTAAGCACATCCACAAGCTTTGTTTTTACAAGTCTTGCTACGGACTGTGCAGTAAATACTTCCATACTTTACCTAAAATGTGTAGTGCTTACTGCACAGTATGTGTGTAGTGTTTCTATGCGACTACACAGTACATATACAGTGCTTACTAGTTACTACTGCACAGCATGTGCAGGTAGGTAACTATCCCCATGTCACCGCACTGTTTCAAGAGCTCTGGCATTTACAGTCTTGTCCAGTGGCAGTAGAACCACTAGTACTAGTGGTGTGGTAGTGGCAATGCGTGCGTGCAGTTAGCAGTCTCTAGCTCTGGGGTGCAGGAGCTATTGACAAGTGTTGCTGGTGTTGTGTTACCTGCTCCTAGGTGGGCAGATAGTTGCTAGCCTCTGGCTTGTTGTTGCTGACCATTCTGAGTCCACTCTCTTTAGAGTTCTTTTCTTCTCTAATCAGCATGTCAATGTAAGTACATGACGGCCAATCCACTGCTTCCTGTTTACAATATGTTTGTGTCTTGGTCATGCCGCCACCACATAGGTGACGCCTGTGCTTACACATGACCACAAGCACTGTGCTAGCAGCCATTTCACATTCTCTCCTTTGTGCTGCTTGTTTGTTTGCTCTTGGCTTATCATGCACCTTTGCTCCTTGAAAGCTTTATCAGTAAGTAGCCAGCACCCCCATTTGCAGTTCACTTGAGAAATTGACAACAAGTGACTGGGAAAGCCTCTGGCTCTCTGTACACATGCTCTGTACATGTACATGTACGTGACCTCCATCCATTGTTATCTCTCCTCACCGTGAGCTGACGTGATCTCCCTTCATTTCATCAGCTACTTGCACGTTTCCTTTGCATGATTAGGATGGCTAACACACATGCACACACTAAAACATTGTTCCACGTTCCCATATTCTCCACTTGGGAACATTGGAATTTACCTATGTGCTATTTCTATTTTACATTATTATTTTTTTACTATTCTGCATTCCCTTTCCGTCATTTTTCACATCAACATCAATATTGACCCTTCATAAATACTAAAACATCTTCATATTATAAAATGCTTCACCATCATCATATTGCGCATTATTTCATCATGTCAGTATGGTTTCAATGTTTCAAAATGAAAGCTGAATTTGCTCACCCCTTTCTGAAAAATATTTTTTTGTAAAACAAATCACCGATATCCACAGACTGGACGTCTTACAAATAGTCCTCGTAATTAGGCGGTTTGTTTGAACACTGTTTTTATTTAGATGTTTGATCATTTCCAAAGTTTGAGATTAGAGCTTGTGCCCTTTTCCAGTGAGCGTGAAGGTAATCCTGGGCAAGTGAACACTGTCACTGGATGTTGCTGCTGCCTGGCCGCCGCCGTGCCACCATACACCAGCACTGCTTGCGGAGTACATGTCTGCGCTCGTACATTGCATGGTTATCCAGCCTTGTATGATCAAGCCGGCACTACCTCGAGGTACCTGTCTTTATGATTGCGCGGCCCCACCCGGCTGCTGTCAGATACAATTTCCACACATGTCTGCCAGTTATTTCAGCACCGCCATACCCGCGATCTTGAAAGGAGCTCCACACCTCACCGCCGCAGTATGCCTGCACACTCATTACCTCATATAGCTAGGGAATAGCTGGGGAATAGCTGGGGAATAGCTAGGAAATAGCTGGGGAATAGCTGGGCCGCCTCATCACTGCGGTCTGATGAGTGTTTGTGAACACGAAACTCAGAAGAAATACTTCTGGTCTTTGTTGCTTTGCCTTTATGTGATCGTATGAGAGTAGGTTTCAGGTTGAGTCCAAAGGTTCCACCACTTGGTTATACAATGTAGAATCACTCCGCGGGAATTCCACTCAAACGGAATAATTATTGTACTTGAAGTGTACAGAACCAATAATATCCATTCTTAAAGTATAGTAACTATGGTAACGCCATCAGACATCCAAGTATCAATACTGTTACTTCACTGTGAGGTGTAGACCAGTGAGGTCAGTTCACTACATGTGATGTACTGCGTATGGTAGGGGTACATAGCACTAACTGCACTTTGACCAAAATAATGATGACAAACCATGGTGCCAAGAAAGCATTCAGTCACTCTGGCGTCCCGCTGCCTTTTGTTTGCCGTGGCGATTATCATGTGAGTGGCTTCAAGAAAACTTGTCAACACTGTTCCATCCAGCCCACATGCATCCATGCTGCTGAATTGGTCATACTGGTGGAGTGGAGGTGGTTTCTGTAGCGCCCGTGCCATCAGCACCCGTGTTATTTCCGCTTGCTTCAACTGTGCCTCCCAGCTTGCTGGCTGATGAGCCACGGCTGCCAGGTCCCACGACAGAATGTGCAGGTCCACACGGCCGACAAGTACACTGCTCCGCCTGTTAGCCAACAATATAGCAGGTAGTAGGTACACACGGTTATCCTATTAAATAGTCTACACGCCATTCATGTTTGAATTGTCTGCGGGTTCAGAGGATTGAAGGAGGCCCAAAGCCTTCAGTTATTCATCAACTTTTCACTTGCAACATAGACACTGATGTGTAAGGTATAATGGGGGGGGGGCAATGGGATGGTCCAATTACAATGAAGCCTCCTGTTCAACAGTGATCATTTGAAGCAAGCTAATTGACTCGGAACAAAAAAATTCATTTGTATCTCAAGTGTTGCAATTCATAAAGTAATCATGGTGAAGTATCTAGCTACTGATCATAATCATGATTATAGCCAAAGGAGAAACAGCGCAATCAGACCGTGGCATTCAGTAGACAGCAGACCAAACACTGATAACAATGCCTCTTACCCGTGGAATCCTGATGTTTCTCTTTGTGCCGGAGCAGACCAGTGAAACATTACTGTGCACGATCTTTGTGGGCTCACAGCACTTGCACGTTTCTGTAAACAGTCCATTCTGCACAAACAAAGACAGGGTAAAGTGAAAGGAGATTGACAGGAGACCATGGATGCACACCAGCACTTCACTGGCCTTCATTGCTGCATTGCAATCACTGTACAGTGCACAATGCATAGTGTACATGCAGCATAATGCATAAGTACCAGTAACACACACAACATGTTAATTAAGTTGGCCTCGGGGAACATTGATTGCTCTGTCAAACGATCCTGAATTTCACTACAATTGTAGGAGCACCATTTTTACAGGTTTCACGCCATAACCATTTGTTGGTAACCTAATTCTGACATGGTATTTCCTACTATTTCACCATTCAGGGCTGCTAAAAGCCGACAGCAATAGACAATGTTCATGATAATGCCTGACATCCAATGTAGACAAGGATTCGCAAAATGTCCACACTGGATATCATCGAGAGGGGTTTGGGGAGTGTTTGGTCAAAGCTAACCTCGTGACAACTTGAACTACAGGTCTACTCTCCATATAACGTAATCTCTGGGACCACGCAAAAAGTATGTTATATCGAGAGTTATGTTATGTAGAAAACCATGTGTAAAATACAAGATGCACCTCAAAATGAAGGGTATTACAAGGCGGGTTCAACCGTGCAAACATATACACACTGTACCACCATCGACATCAGATACCATCAATGCCGCAGAATATATGCACAATAAGACTAAACTGGCTAGCTACGGCTACAGCTTGATTGTACCGCGCACGTGAATCTACGTTGTATCGAGAGTGCACACGTCGGGGACTGCGCCGTAGGGTGCGTTATGCCGAGGTTTACGTTATGTAGGACTAAACTGGCCTAAACTGCCTAGCTACAGCTACCGCTTGATCGTACCGTGCAAGTGAATTTATGTTGTATCGAGAGTTCGCACGTCGGGGACCGCCGTAGCGTGTGTTATGTCGAGGTTTATGTTATGTAGAATTATGTTGTGTAGAACAAAACTTGTATGGGAGTGATGCTGTTTCGGCGCGGGATTTGATTTTTTTATGTACTAGCGAGGTTTATGTACAAGTGAGAGTTGTTATATCGAGAGCAGACCTGTACCAGGTTCCCGTGTGCCCACATGCTCGATTTGCATCACCTTGCAGTCATGCTGCATATTGTGAGGTGTATGGTTTTGTATCGTTCCCTTCAGCTTTACAGTGATAGCTGGGATCACGCGGCACTGATGATGTAATGCTGTGTGATCACGCGGCACTGATGATGTAATGCTGCTGGACAGTACTGGCAAGACTGCAGAATCCTGTGCTTTTCCCATTCTGCTCAATCCGAGAGCACTGAGAAAGGCGTGTGAGTCTGTACTGGAGGCTTTCAATACTGGGCCCTGCAACTACTATGATGCCGTGATCACTGTTCCTCTCCAAGTACTAGTAGCTAAAACCACAAGGCTGGGACGGTTTCACGACGTTTTACACATTTAATAGGGGAAGTACCATGGATGCAGCCTCCACAGCCATCAACCAGCAGTGGAAGTCTCCAGGAATCATTACAGCAACACCCTGCGGCGGGCTCCCTCCTTTTCCAATGTCTACCAGCTGTTTCTCCCCGGTATATATATCACTGATTCGAAGGTTTGGTGTACTTCTGAAGTGCACGTCATCAAACACCAACCGTGAGTAGCGTCTGTCCCAAGGAACAGGCTTGCTGACTTTTAAGGGTTGAAGCTAGTCATGCAGCAGCTGAGCTCAGCCTGAGCTTTCAGTATCCTCCACCAGTAGTGGGAGACATAGCAATTCTGTTTCAGTGCAACTTTCATTCTTCTAATTTCTTCTACCAAGATCAGCAGCTGATATGACAGGATTCCGCTTGGTACAACGTCCGGCAAACCGGTTTTCCTAAAGTTACCAGCTTAGTGGTCAATACTAGTACTAGCAATCCACAATGCAACACACGCATGCACAAACACACACACACACACACACACACCATGTGGCGCACTGATGTAGACAGCCTGTCCTGCTTTCTAAGGAGATTGGACTGGATTCACATGCAGGAACACCATAGAGGGGTACTGCTAGAGGTACTGCTAGAGAGGTACTGCTAGGCTGTTGGATTTGCCAAACCTAGAGTACGTAACTTCAATACAGCTGATGTGTTTTGCCACAGCTTAGAGGATGTGGTGCAATTCCGAGGCTCCAGGAACAAGAAATTTCAATACGCACTCCCGCTCCCCCCCCCCCCCCAGGACTTAACACTGGTCAGTAGATGTTTACTTGCTTCAATGGTTTGAGCTGTGATTGAAGTACGCTGCAATATCAGGTACTGCTTCAGAAGTAAAACAAAATTTGACCAACAGAGTGTAGGGTGTCTTCTTTACAAGCAGATGTTGGTGACAGCCAGTGCAATCTAATCCTAGGCCACCGGCTACATACTATTCAGTTGATGATTATTCAGTGTTGTGTGAACGAGCTATGCCGTTTGTCATCAATGTCTGCTTGGTGTGTAGGTCATCATGCAGCACTACACATGCACGGTGTGTTGGTCTAATCTACTCTGTCTGATCACAAGTGGCCCATGAGCTACAGCTAGCCATGGCGTCACAGAGTCAGCTGAACTACAGGTACAATACAGCGGCGGCATGATGGAAATGATACTGAGACTTGGTCTGTGAAGTCCTTTTGATGTTTATGCTACATGCCAGCAAGATACAGTAAAAGACATTCCCTGTTTACAAGTCATGCTTGTAACCTACAGCTTGATGGATGGGAACAAAGGGAAATTCACACAATCAATGCCATGAAAACTCGGCCTTACATGCAGGAAGTCCTCACTAGGCTGGGATGATGACGGGCAGGTTCCAGCACAACTCTCTGTCTGGAATTCCCCTTGGCATCCATCTTCAGTGACCTGCAATGTACAGCAGCAATGTTACCGCAACAGTATATGTGGCATCACCACAGGATTGGAACACCGCTTCATTACAATCACAACTGACTATACGACTTCCGTGCAATTGTGCCAGTAACTCATAGTCACGGATTCTCTAGGCATGGAGGTTCTGCTTCAGCTAATGAGTTAGCCACTGGGGGCTTGCTACCAACCTGACACTCTCGATGACCAGGTATACAGAACAACTGAGAGCAGCGGCGCCAGGATAATCAAGGCAAACAAAGGCAGTGTTTTTGGCAGAAATTGAAAGTCCAGACATTCTCAAGTCTTCCAGATTGGAGATGCTGGAGTCACTTCATGCTAAGGAAACTTGACAACCACTCCGGTTCTCAAGCCTTTTTTTAAAGATCGCTGCTGCACATGCAGTATATTATCACAACAAACACAAGACTGAGTGTGACAAGTTGAGCTGCAAATGGAGAAGAAGCGTAACTATAGTGTTGCAGAACAGCTACTGCCAGCATGTCGGCGGATACGGTTGGATGCAGAAGCTGCACTGGATTACTGGATCAGTGCAGGAGGGAGAGACAGATCGATAGTCTTACCCGCATTGTGTATATTCTTGGATTGCAGCTTTGGCTGTATTGTAGATCGGTTGATGTCCAGACTCGGCGGGGGACAGAAAGGGCAGAGCACCAGAGCAACAGCACAACCCAGTACCGGCAAGTAAGTGGCATCATCATCACAGTTCTCTAGTTTGATCTCCGATTTCCTTCCTAGTCGGAGCCGCCAATACTGGTATAGTTGAGTCCAACAGTGGAGAAGAAGTTTGAAGGAGCAGGAAACAGGCAACGTTGGTCATCTGCTCAATCTGCACAACATTTACCGAGTAGAAGAAATGCACAAGAACTCAACTGCATGGTTCAACACACTTGTTGCACAATATGAAGAGAGGAAATAGGGATACCCGCACAACTGCAAGCTACCTTTTATAACGGCACTAGGCAATGCTGGCGAGCATTCCGGGCAAAGGCTCAAGTGGCGGTAGAATGCCAAAGAACATTCCTTGCTTGGAGTTGCTTATTCAGATCATATTGCAGTCAATCAACCCTGTAGCACGTTCATGTCTCCCATGTGATTTTGTCCCTGGGAACTGAACAAATCCCAGCCTTGGCCAGTCTCCAGACAGCCGGTACACAACCTATCCTGGCTCTGTCAGTTCCTGGGGCTCAGTGCAGCCACACACCCGTAGTCCAAGCAGCTCAGTCTCACGCCGGGTCAGGTTCTTAGGTTATCGGGACAATCGGCCAATCGGGCCTCAGTGCTTGTCATCAGTCCCTGAACAGCAATGCCACCACTATGCTGTGATGCCAATGTTAATAACCATAGGTGCTCAGTACTGTCTCACAATTATGCCAAACTACTAGTATACCCTGGAGGCCACCTGCCAATTACTCTTGCCAACGGTCCAAGTTGATCTGGACATCTCACGATGCTCATTAACCATCATCAGCATGATCATTAGAATATTTGTTTACATATCATCAATGATGAGATGCCCAAGCAGATTGAACACACACATATGCCACCAACTTGAAGATATCATAGCGGCTACAGGTGATTACAAGCGACCAGGCACAAACTGCATTCAGGACCATTGCACATTTACTATGATTGAAGCTATCATATGTTAATGAACTGAGTCGAGACCCTGGCTGCATGGTTATATTTACATGGGAAGGGGCTCAGTAAACCAAAGTAAGAGCCTGTTTGATCTGTAACATCACCCGTAAATGCACTCAGAACATGAAGTCCAGATATACGTTGCAAGCCCGACACAGTATTGCACTGCTGTCCAGGACTGAGATTGCAATGTTACACTTAGTTCAGCTAAGGTCATCCGATTATGCTTAGCCAAAACTAGTCACATGACCAGAGCCTCTAGAACACTGCATGGGCCAAACTGACTCATAGTCACACACGTCCGCATGATTTGAACACTCCTCTAAGAACCCATGCAGAAGTGAATGTTCATGGTCCCTTACCTGCATGTAACCTGTGCGGATTTTGAAACAAGACTTGGCAACCAGCTTCCCTGTGTCCAATGGCAATCAGGATCACTGACTCAGACTGTGCAGCACTGTCCCTTCTTTCCCTGGTGACACAGCAACGTACACTGACTATGCCGCAGTACTATCCCAGTCACTCATCTCCAAATATGTCACCGCCGGGCCATGGCAGTTAGTATACGATAACAACCTTTAGGGTATCTATGCCCCATCCCTTAGGCACAGGGTCACTAATTCCTTCAGTCTTCTCATTTCAAACTGCGATGCCCAAGACTAACACTACTTGCAAGAGACTAGTAATGGCTGGTAGCACAGGCCAGGTCATTGATCAGATAACTTTGTGTCTACTAGTCACTCAGGGGGAACTGGCACTCATTGTCTTTGACTTGCCCTCCATCAAGTAACGGACTGTTTTAAAGATATCCATACAAACTAACATTGCACACACATTGGACGTGGGCCCAGCATGCAGGACACCAACCTCTCACTTATCAACTTCACAAAGACACTGCGAGGGCAGTCTCATGCAGTGCCCACTGCATTGGAGTTGAAAGGACTTCAGTCAGTACAGTAGTATGGCCAGTACTGGCATCACATTACACTGACCTACTGCCACTGTGACTTAGTGTGGCTGTGCCCACTGCCCAGGCCAGGGCCAGACAACACCTGATTTATCACCCCAGGTTGTGGAGCACACTACCACAGTGCTCCCACAGTACATCATGGTACAGGAACAGCAGGGCGGGCACTGCACTAATCGTGACCTCACACGGTAACATGGTCATGTTCATGTGCCAGGGTGATGGGGAGCATTACATCCAGCCTGCCCGCTATGATTTATCTCACGGTGTGGATTGTGTGACTTTCACCACACTACAGGATACATGTCCACCTACTCATAAGGCCAGTCTGGAGGACAAGGCTACTTACCACCTTCCCCGGGCCAAAGGAAAAGTGCTGTCAACCAGATCATGCTGGCTGATCTGTATTAATTTTATTAACATTCCGTGATCCTACTTATGTATTTACTAGGGGAAGATTACTGCCTTTCTGAGCTTGGTTCCACTGATGGTAGCAATGTGGCCTTGGTAAAATGTGTAGTGCCAACACTCATGACAAATCCCAGCAGGGGTCAGTTTGGAGACATCATAGCTATGTGGAAGCACAGTGACCCCCTGCTTTAACCCAGCGCCCATGATGATTGTGTGAGGGGATCCTGCCCATGCCATGTATCAGTAAAAGGTATTCCAACAACTACATGTAATACTAATAGTATCTCTGCAGGTCGTGGGCCTGCACTGCACTGCCTGCTTACAACAGTACCCTGTATACAACAAGACTAGTAGCCAACACAGTACTGCCTGTCGCCTAAGAACTGACCCCCCCCCCCCCCCCTCTTGTCCAGTACTATACTAATATAGGCAGGAGTGTGGTCTAGGTCTAGGTTTAGGCCACAAGTTACTTGTAGGGAGTCTCTCCCTTGCAAACACTCACTCTCAGCCCACATTATAATACAAATTGACATAGTCATTGTACTGCATGACACAGACAAAGCACATGATGTGGGCATCGCCATTGCTGCTATTGTGTTAGCCTAATCCATTCCTGCAGTCCTGGTACTGGGTAGCCACTATTATTCTGCAAGGCCCTTCCAGAGCAGACCATTCTACTTGCTGAAGTCATGAAGTTGCTGTTCGTGACTTTGCCGGGTTTCAGCGACGGTTTGGAGTGGCCACCTGTGGTGGTCTTTTGTCTCTTGACCCTAGCACATGTCATCTCATTTGGGTGCTCAGGCACACCCGCACTCAACATGGTCTAGAGTCTACACGCCCCACCAAAGTTGGCCACCAGTCACCTAGAAGCTTGGTCCTTGACTTCTTACTGGCTTCGTTTCCCGCTCCAATTTCAGCTCCTAATTGTAGCACTAACGGCCGTCAAGTCATCTTTCGAAAATAATCCAATTATCGCAGTTATTTATGGAACCACACGTTACCAAATTCAGACAGATATTTGGGGAAACTCACGTTTTCGCTGACTTGTGATGCTCGATCTCGATCGAGGACAGATTCCCTCAGACCTGCCGCCTAGCGTATCCTCTCACTTTCCACCGGCAGATCTCAGCTCTGCAAACGGCGGTAAAGGTGTACGTGTGGGACCCACGACATTCTGCAACCTACTACTCCTAGATATAGACTGCTCTCGGACGGAAAGAAAGAGCAATTATTTATCTTGAAAAACAAAACTTTACTTCTCTTGGTCATCGAGCAGTGGATAAACTACTGCGTCCTTGATTGAACATAGTCATTGGCACCGCACTGGTGGTGGGTCTGCTGCCTGCAATGTTGCGGCGCCCTAGCCAGTGAGAGAGCTGAGAACGAGCTAGTGATCGTGATGGGGTTGTGCCGCAGGTCACAGGCGGTCTGCCCACCGGTTTAAAGCTCTGCACGTTTCGCATTTCCACAAAGGCCACAACAGTAAAAGCGCATGTCAACTGCTCCAAGAGCTGATTGCGGATTGATTGTGAGAGTCTGAGACACTACCGCTGCCTCTCCACTCGGGTAGCCGCTAAATGAAGGCGAGGAGACTCGGAGAGTCTGGTGGCCACATCCTCGGACACAAACAACCAGAACTTACGAATGGAGTCTACTATGCAGAGAGAATGTGCCACGTGCTGAGTACATGACCCCGGCGTCCCTGTGTCAGAAAGACGCGGAATGCCACGCCAACGCTTTCTTCATCATTGTCTTGGACAATTGGTTCTAAGTTGAGCCTGACTCGAGTAAGAGGGCCATTATCGGTCACATCACCACCCTACAACTTAGTACAAGCACTTGAATTCAACTACAGAAAGGACTTCTGTCTGACAATAGGCTGGAATGGGCATACAAATTACAAGCAAAACAATATTAACAGTACACTGTACTTACAGCAGGCCGCGAGGCAGCCGTGGGCTACAGTTCCCAATGTTCTGGTGTTAGGACCAACTGCATGAGCACTAGCGAAGCGGAGCACTTCACTTGCCACCGCAAAATGATAGACAGACGGCTAAACTGCCAGCATATCCATGCATTACTTTCATCAGATGATCCAATCAAACTCAACAACGTATTGTACAGTCATGCAGACCTACAAGACCAAAGGCTCCTTAGGCTTGGCAACTAGCTTTAGCCTTGTGCAGGGTACAGTAGATCTACATTGGTTTGTGGATAAAGAAATGGACCAGAATTCAAGGAAGTGTCTGCCATTAGGTGTGTACAGTTCTGCCAATTTCACTGCTTTTCGAGCAGAAGCTGCCAATTTCTCCAGCATTATCAAGTAAGCCATTCATGATTCTTGCCGCTCTGCAGTCCTTCACAAAAACAAAACAAAAATGTTACTAGTAATACTACTTGTATTCCTTGGGCTTGGTGGCAAGGGTTGCTGTTGTTGACAGATGAGTTCATGGACTGTCACTGTGGGCAGAAATCATCATCACCCTGAAAGGCCATCCCCACTGACCCTAGACATTGCTCCCATTCCCACCGACCCTAGACTTTGCTCCCATTCTCACTGACCCTGGACATCCTTACACTTCATGTTACTACATCATGGATCATTGTCAAGATACTAGTAGAACACAAATCTCCTACATCGAAGAAATACACCCACCACGCGTACCTTTTTGAAAACATACATCATTGTAGTTGCAAGTACTTGACTCTGAGTACATGTTACTGCACCTTGCAAGTCAACTGGGGTACACTTTACAAACCAAAACAGACATCTATGCAAGACGCTCCAGTATACCAGGTACATGTACTATCATTCTGTGTGTGTGTGTGTGTGTGTGTGTGTGTGTGTGTGTGTGTGTGTGTGTGTGTGTGCGCGTGTGTGTGTGTGTGTCTAAAAAAAAGAAAAATGGAAAAAATGGAAAAAATGAAAAATAGGGATTCACTGGCCAGAAAAAGTCACTTCAAACAGCTGTGTGGTGGACTGATACCAGGCTAAAAATAGTGGCGGTCAATTCATCAGCCTTGCAAGCTGTTGAATGGTGTAATCCCAGCACAAGTTGCTATGTCTTACATAGCTGTTCGCTATCATCGCTTCCGCGATGGGCATGTCTGAGGTCTGAGGTGTGTGTCTGAGCCAACCTGTCGGAAGGATACCTACTGTCCTTCTTGCGAAAGCATTTGGAAGTTGGACTAGTTTCAGCTCCACAATCCAGTGTGTCGTTACTATAATTATAGCTTTCATGGCTGAGGTTGTTGGTATGTCTGTTGGCTCTGGGTTCCCAGTACTCAGAAGCCGAGGCTGGTTGGTAAAGTAACTCCAATTTCACTTCAAGGTACCAGTGCATCTAGTGTCTGCTTCTATCAAAGCAGCGTACTGTCAAGAGTACATGATTGTACTCTTGGTACTGTCATACTGGTTGCCCCAGCAAGTGTAGGGTGTGCATTGCCATAGGTAACTGTCTTGGCCGTTTTATGCCGCTGTACTCCGTGTGGTGTAGACCAGGTGTGCATTGGTGGTCGATTCACATGGCTTCGCCAGTTGTGTGGATTAGACAGTTATTTGGCGCAAGTCTTGATCTGTCTCATTCAGATCTTGTTCGCTATCGTTGCTATGAGAAAATCTGTGGGGCAGATTTGCGTGCTTCCTTTGCGACGGGCGTATACATGGTACATGGTACATGGTGTGTCTGAGCCATAGCAACTTGTGCTACACACACACGCACACACACACACACACACACACACACACGCACAAACACACACACACACCACACCACACACACACACACACACACACACACACACACACACACACACACACACACACACACACACACACACACACACACACATACACACATATGCACACACTGTAGCCTAGCATACGATCGTGCATGTACATGATGTACCACATACATGTATAGTCCTGGAGCCAGGTCCAGAAATCTGACAGTGTCATTTGACACCTCGTCCAGGAAAGATTTGACTTCAAATTCGGAGAGGCGGACCAACTATACGAATTTTGGAGAAAACTAGAAGTTCCCAATGTTGTCCGTTTGGAAGTTATGAGCTATTTCCAAATTGCTTAGGTTACTATGGTAACCTGTGTGCAATTAGCCGTTTCTGAGGCAAAGCCGATACAATTTTGGAGAAAAAAGTTACCTTGTTGGAAGGCGAGCTCTTTCCAAGACTATTATTGAAAACGAGAAGTTTATAGAACTGTCGGCTTCCTTGTCACAGGAATGTCTCGAATTTCTACGGTTACCGTGGTAACGTGTATGCAATTAGCCACTTCTAAGCCAAAGTCAGTGCATTTTCTCCCCTGTAGGCAGGTGGAAAGCAGAGAATAGTTATAATATTGTGGCTTAGAGGTCTATTGGGCTGTTTCATGCCTGGTTTGTAGAGACTGGGCTCCTCTCCCCTCTAACAGTAACACTACCGGGATTGCATTGACCTGGCGCTTGTTCCCTCCCTTCCTTCACATAATACAATGTACATGTACATGTA